CTTTCCTTCCCTTCCCTTCCCTTCCCTTCCCTTTCCTTTCCTTTCCTTTCCCTACCTTCCCCTTTTCCTTTCTTTTTCTTTCCTTTTCCTCTTCTCCCCTCCCCTCCCTTTCCCATGCCATCCCTTCTTGTCCCCCTCCCTTCTTCCCTTTCCTTTCCCATATTTGGACCTTGGTTTGGGAAAATTCTTGGATACAATGAATCAGATGTGGAGATGGTGATGAAGAAAGCACCTTATTCTGGAGCCAGTCTATCCAGATTCCAATTCTATCTGTATCGCATTAATTATCTCTGTGTGATCTTGAACCACTTCCCTAAGGCTTGACTGTGAAGGTTAAAATGTGTGGCACACAGTAGGTACACTAAATAGCTTCATCATCTGATTTTCCTTTCCCTTTTATCCATTTTATTATCCTAATAGAAAAAAAATAACTCAAATTGAAGAAGAGAGCCCAAAAGAGGGAGGAGGGCAGAGGAGGGAGCATGAGATACTGAAAACTTCAACTTACTACACAATTCAAATCCGAACTCATATTTGCATGGTAAATTATAGTCTTCAAAGAACTTTTGTCTTGGCAATATCATTTATTATGGCATCTTTATGAGATCCAAATAATGCTTAGTCAATTTGGACAGATTAAACACACGGGAATGAACAGAACAGAACACACACACACACACACACACACACACACAGAGAGAGAGAGAGAGAGAGAGAGAGAGAGAAAGAAAGAGAGAGAATATTAAGGAAGAACCAAGCTACTAAGCTTGCAGTAGCATTTAGAACACCTGAGCAATACAAAAATAAGAATGTTTTAAATCAGACTTTTTGGATTGAAAGGTTTTATGGTGATCACCTCCATTAGCTCTGGGACTTACGGGCCAAGTCTTGTCCTATCTTACAATATTTGAGATAATTAGCCCAAAAGAATGTTTTAAAGCATATGAACAGTCTTGTTCTCTGATGTGAAAAAATCACTGCCTCCAGATTGATTATTCCATCATCTTTCCCCCAACTCTCCATAACTACTATACTTTTGTAACATTGGCTTCTACCATATACCTTAATGGTATTTTTTAAGGCATGTGATAGGTAAACTTGGCTTTACTCTTATCACTTACAAATCTAAGGAAACTATAAGTCAAGTTTTACAACCAAGAGTCCAGTCTCTAGGAGTTGTGGTTATCTGTAGTGAAAAAAATTTACAAGACAGTAATGGATGAGATACTACAGTGTACTAATTAGTACACTGTACTAATAGGATAATTTTAACTGATATTTGAATGATAATGATGATTATTATTATAGGAAAGGACAATAATAGAGAAAGAAAAGGTAATTTTGGGAATGTGAAGTTGGAGAAGACTATGGAAAATGTGAGATTTGAATTGTGCTATGATGGATAGCTAGAGGGATAGGGTTGGAATCTGTAAGGAGTTTGGAAGTGGAATCACCAAATTTATTAAAATACACAAAAGCAGATTCTTTGCTCTAGGAATCATTTTTGAC